ACATTAAACCAGGCAAGTTACCCACACGTGAAATGCCTGAGTCCACTGGGAGACCAGTTGCCCCTTGGGAGTTCCCAGGATCAGCCTTCAAAAGAAAACCCTCAGGTGGTTGGTGATGCTGGTTGGTGAGGCTGTTTGACCGGAAGAGAGGCTGAGAAGGAAGAGACAGTCAGTCCAGGACGGAACCCTTGCTGGCCTCTGTGATAAAACACCCAAACCGATTTATGATGAGGTTTTCATCAAAAAGGAATTTCAAAAAACTTTTTAGAAGCTTGTGCACCTTGAGTTTTTTTTCAATGTTTTTTTTTTTTCTTAATTCTTGGGAACTTTCACACAACTAAGAAACCAACATTTACCAACTTAGATACAATCTACCAAGTAAAACTCCCAATTAGAGCAAAGATGACTGCGAACTGTTATCAGCAGATTAATCAATGAAAGGAGTTTGGAAACTCAGGCCAAAAATTTTCATTTACCGTACTTACTTCCAAAAAAAAAAAAAATTGCCTTTCTCCCTGACACAGGTATGGGCATCTGCTGCAGGTCCCAACAAGAATGAAACCAAAACAGAAAATTACCTTGTCTCTCTACACGATAGAAAGAACCAATCCACCTTGAGCAAGAAAGAATCTCGATACAGTTGTCTCGCTATCAATTCCCTCTAGTTAAGCAGCCAACCTGAACCTTTTGTCAATCATGATCTTCCCAAGAATTCAGTCTCAAGCTCTTCAGAAACATTAATCACTTAAACAGAAGTTGGAGGTATAATAAAAGTCACTCCAAAAAAAATGGACGTACGTGTCTACTTATTTGCTGCCCGAGAACCCATTAAGATACCTAGTACAAAGACTAGTTAAAAGTTATGCTTTCTTAGCTAAAGTATAAAATCAGAACCTTTGAAAATCCTCGACCTGGATGCATTTCAAAACTTAGCATTTGAAATGGCAACTTTCTGTCTGCAGAAAGTCGGTCTCACTAAAGGGCATATGTAGCAGCAGCATTATTTCCTGGCAGCCAGGCCTATAATGACATCACATGATTGTTCTCAGGAAAACATCTAGTGCTGGTTAGGTGTGAGGTCATCAGCTAGTCAGCTGCTAAAATATGACCTAAGAATGCCCTTCACACCTGTGATGGAAGAGCCTGACTTAAGAGGGTGCAGAAAGTCAGATCAATCAAATCGGCCCATTAGAGGATTTTTCAAAGCATGTGCAATAGGTCTGCATTTTGAAACAGCTCTTAGAGTCAATCAGTTTGGAAAACCCTAGCAAAGGACAGAATTAAACGTTTTACTACAGAACATTTCAGAGCATGTATTATGCTGATGACCACTATAAGTATCCAAGAAAAGGTCACGGTATGAGGTGTTTTCCAAATTCATTTCAAAACACAATTCGTTTTTGGCAGAGAATTAGTATGGACTAGGGTTCCAAGGGGTATTCTTTGGGAAACATCAACTTATTCTCTTAATGTAGAGACCAGACCTGAACGTTGCTGTTTTTAATGAGACCCATAAAAGATGGGCGTGAGGGCTGTAACTCCACAACCTATTCGCTCACCATCCAGGCTGGTCCCCGCCCTCCAGAAGCGGTCTACTGGGAAAGGCGGGTCTGGGATATTACACGATCCTGACTGTGATGCAAGAGGACAGGACGCGGATACTCTGAACAGAGCCACTCGATCTGCTGTGTAAACGAGGAGCCCGTGTTTGCGCTGGGTCTCGCGTGCCGAGGTGAGAGTTAAGATCCACCTGAAGGTTGCCAAACATTCCTATAAAAATTGAAATCCGACCTTGATGTTAATGGATACCAGTGTCATGGCCAAAATTCAACGATCCTGCCTTAATTTTTGACTGATTTTGGCCAGCGTATTTGACTACCACGCTTTTTGTGCTCTGTACAGAATCTAAGAAGAACTCTGTACCAGGCAGATAAACTCGCCTTCTTACTGTTAACCACCCAAATTAGACAAACGACAATCTGGAATACCAGCAGAGAGAATAACCTGCAACATGTTGTTCAAGAAGATACAGAACCAACATCTACCAACCCCACAAAGAGAAGCAACTTCAGAAAAGCCCAGCAATGTCACCGTCAGCACAGGGTCACCAGAGCATCATCTGTTAACTTTTGAGCACACCCAGTGGCATTTCCAGACGATCAGAAGGCACCAAAGGAATCAATTCGGACACGAGAGCATTTTCCAGGTGGCTGGAAATGCAAAGAATTTGGTACCTTTACAATTTTCCCTATTAATCAGGTCAGGCATTTGACACTTGAGGTGGCAAAAAATTGTTTTAAAGGCAACATCCCTTTCCCCGCCTTGCCAATTACCCTGGCCATGGCATTCCTCTGTCCACACAGGCCACAGCTGCTTAATCTCAGCCACCCCAGGCTGCACCTGTGAATCAGACCAGCCTAATCACACGAACAGATGGCACAGGCCGAGGAGCCAGCTAAGAACTGCTATCACTTTAAATCACGTCTAATGTTTCAGAGGCACCAGACAGGGGCAGTTCCCAGCAGCAGTATCTCCCCGGTACAGTTAACACCGGCCCTTAATCACTGACAAGCACCCATTTCGGGGCAGAGTTGGTGTCATTTGAGAGCTAATTACAAAGAACCCTGCTTGCAAGATGACGGCATGGAAATTCATTCAACGGAGTACTCTGCTACCTGGCCTTTCTACATGGGCACTAGGCAGGAGGGGACCGTGGCACGTAAGTGCCTTCCGAGTCAGAAGAGCGATCTAGTTCACTCGGCCTACTTGTTATGTAACCTCTACCTTGCTGTTACATCTTATTATTTCCCAAGAATCACGCTATCAGGCCACCAGGATGACACAGATCCTGACATGCCAACACAATGGAGTCGATGGCATCTGAGGTCCCAATCAACAGCATGACACCCACATGTCAGTGCAAGCACCCTCGCTCACCCCCATCACCACCCTGCGTGTTGGCAGAGGGGCGCTGTGAATCGACGTGCAACAGGCCCACAACTGAATCACACGTTTGCCTTTCGCTCGCTGCTTCGTGAATTTCCGCCCAATAAAACAGCAAAAACTAAAAACAAAAAACAAAAAACAAAAAAAAACAAAAACAAGAACAACTCCTCTCTCCACCTTATCGGGTTGATAGGAGGCACTGACTGGGCCAGCAACCGGCACAGAGCTGGCCCAAAGCTGGCCCTCATCACCACCTCCTCCCCTGCCGGAGCCAAAGAACTAAGAAGGAGTGAATGATGTCTTCTGATGTACCAGCTTCTATTATGAAAACATAATAACCTCATTAGAAAGCCAGTACAAATCACAGTGGAAAACACTTTCACCCACCTCATTACCCACCGTTTTACAAGCAAGGTCTCTGACAGTAAACTCCTCTTTGAAGCAGATCTGGACATGTGAACACCTAAGCCAATGGTTCTCACACTTTAGTGTGCGTGAGAATCACCCCCAGAGTTTCTAATCCAGTGGGTCAGGGGTGGAGCCTGAGAATTTTCATTTCTCATAAGTTCTCAAGTGATGCTGATATAAGTGATCCAGGCCCCGAGCGTTCTCTTGCCAAAAAAGTGAACACTGTATAAACCAAAATATTTCCCTTTTGTCCTAGCTGTTGATTTGGAGACAAACCCAGTTCCCCACCTAAGAAACACATTATCCCAGACACTTGACGAGATTAACTTTCTCTTCTTCCTTTAAAAAAGCCCTGGGCCTATTTGAATAATTAACTGTCTTATTATTCAAGCCTTGTTTAAATTTACTAAACTGATGAACATCCTTTTAAGAAAATGTAGAGTCTAAATCTGAGCCACAAATACCAGTGACCAACATAAAAGCCCCTCGGGAACATTCCAGCCATGTTACTGGAAAACACACCTAAATGCTGCATTTTATCTCCTTTATCGAATAAACACTCACAAGTACTCTTTTGAGCAAATAAGAACTCATCCGATCCTCACCACAATTGCATCAGGTGTTATCAGTCCCATTTTAGTTGTCGAAACTCAGACAGAAGTTAAAATCCTTGCCCAAGGTCACCAAACTCAGACGTGGTGGAGCAGGATTTGAACCCAGGCTGCCAACTCCTAGCAGCCATGTTCTTATGCACAAAGGAAAGGCCTCCTATGTGTCGACGCTCAGTGTTTACTGCCTTTAAAGGCGCTCACTGGCCCCCTTTTCCATCTGCAGAGTAAGGCACACTTTCCTTATTTCTGCTCAGCATGCAATAATGTTTTAAAAGCCAAGGTCTGTCAACCTCAGCACTACTGATACTTTGGACCAGATCACTCCTTGTTATGGGGCCGTCCTCTATAGCAGGGGTCCCAAAACCCTGGGCCTCCGATGGGTACAGATCCGTGGCCTGTTAGGAACCAGGCTGCACAGCAGGGAGTGAGCGGCAGGTGAGCGAGCGAAGGAAGCTTCATCTGTTTGCAGCTGCTCCCCAGCGCCAGCATCACCGCCTCAGCTCCGCCTCAGATCATCAGACATTTGATGCTCATAGGAGCTCCGGTCCTTGGTGCCAGAAAGGTTGAGAACCGCTGTTCTACATTGCAGGACATTTTAGCAACACCTCTGGCTCCACCCACGTGATGCCGCCAGCATCCCCATCCCTCCCCTCCCCCTGCTGAGACCACCGCTGTCCAGTGTTCCCGGCGTGAGGGGCAGAATCACAGCGAAGCACCAGCGACGGTTACAGAGAAACCCAGATGCCACGTGTCTCCGAAGAGCGAGAAATCAAAGGGAAAAAGAAACCCAAGAGGAGAAAGGTCGTAACTGCTTTCAGACCGGGGCGGCCCACTAACACGACAAGAAAGGACGAGCGGTAGAGAAGGGTGCACAGTAACGCTGGTTTATTCTCTCAGGTTCGAAAGTCAGGAAAGGAGACACCGCGGAGGAAGGCGGGGCCACAGCATCGCGGAGAGTCGACAGACGACGGGGGACGCTCGGGGCGCCCCACGAGCTCTCCTCTCTCGGGACCTTTGGAGACGGCTGTTACTTACTCTTGTTGTCCCTGTTCTCACTGACAAAATCCTCGGAGCCATCTGTGTCGTCCTCATCATCTCCGGATGAGATGGCATCTGTATTCAAAAGAACACATCCATGGTTGTGTTTTTGCCGAGCAACAGGCCATCGCCCACCGCTTTCTTCTCGGATGGGGGAGCCAACGCCCAGGAGCCCACAGGAAAAGTCTGAGCCCAGGTTTAGCTACGACGGTTTTAACGGCTTACATCTTGTCTCCGTGATGACAGTTGGTCTATATTATGATTCCCAATGTTTTCTGCTGTCACATTATTTAAACGTTCTAAAAAACTGAATGTACAGAATTTAGATTTTAAGCTTTAAACGGTGTTCAAATACCCAGCAAATTTACGGATTTTCCATAACATCCAATGATTTTTTGCTTTTTCCAACACAACCTTTCAGTGCTCAGGGTCTCATCAAGAAAGGAATGAGCCCTCAGAAAAACTTAGCTCCTGTGCGGCCTTCCAACCATTTATTAATATTCTGAAAGCAAAACTTTAAACTCGGCCTCCAAGGGGGGCCTGTGCAGACCCCATCGCCATCACGGCATGGAAGAAACTCAAATTTTAATTCAAAGAATCAGAAATCTTCAGCATCCAAATTTTAATCCTATGCTCTGAGTACCAAGGATGCCGGTGGTACGGAGAGAGAAAGATAGGTTTTTACTTATATAAAAGCATGCTGTCTTAAAAGAAAAATGTTACTTTGTACATGAGAATCCTGTCATTTTTAACGACCAGTCTCTCTGACACACCAGGTCCCATGCAAGAACTTCAAAAACAGATCAGTAACAAACTGAAGCTCTGTGCCTGGCGTCTGCTTGGTTCCCACCATGATTGTCCAATAAAACTGTACCCAGAAAACAGCAACAGGGAAGAGAGGGCAGAGGCCTCGCGGGCCAACTCACCTGTGACATTGACCATGAAGTAGACAGTCTCACTGTCTACAGTCCTAGCAGCGGTACAAGCATAGAGGCCGGAGTCTCTAGGCGTGGCACCTTCTATCTGCAAGTATTCCCCAATAAGCACTGTCCTATTGCTGGGTCCCAACTGTCCCCCATCCTTAGTCCAACTGATCACGGCGGCATCTCTCAACTGGCAACGCAACTCTAGCGAGTCCCCAGGCGCAGCCACGTAAACTTCTGGCTGGGAGATTTGGTATTTGGTTGGTGGCTCTGCAGAAAGGTGGGAGAGAGAAGGCAGAGATGGGGAGGAGGAGGAGGAGAGAACGTCCAACACAGGTCAGTGGCGGCCCCTTCACCCCAGGAGTGCAGTTCTTGTTTTGCAAACGGCCCCCAGCAGGCACGGGCCTCTCCCCGCAACCCCAGGAAGCGGCCCTCCTGCGCAGAGCCAGAGGAAGCACCCAGCAGAGGCTGCCCACTTAGTGACCACGAGCCGTAGGGCTTTAAACACAAACCCGAGACCCAGCATGGAAGGACATGGCACAAGAAAACCTTCAAGTCGACTGCCAATCAGAGCCCGCTTGCAGTGTGACCCCCCCCCCCACACCGAGGTCCCATTATCGTGACTTTTTTATGTGTAAGGACTGATGTTTTACAAAATTTTTTATTCGACGTGACTGCATGGCTGTGTGTCCACACACACACACACACACACACACACACACACACACACACACACTTATTTGTGCTGGATTTTGCCTGTTGTCACAACACCAAGCTGCTTGAAATGCCTCAAATTTAAGGGAAACTGATGGGTCCTTCCACGAAACTGCCCTCTGAGTTTTCACGAGCTCTCAGGTCAGAACTTTGCTGGTCTGGAGATGTGATTCTGTGCTGGGTGAGCTGAAGCAAGCTGTCTTACTTAACACAGTAAAAGCCTTAACACCAAAAACAAAGAGCTAAATGCCCCAGATGGCTGAGGGGTGGTCTCTGTGGCGTGTAAATAGGTCCTGAAATGAAACCACTGCGCGCTGTGCATTAAAAGCTGGATCCCGCCCTGCCCGGCAGCCCCCGCCACACGTCCTGGGTCCTGGCCTCCTCGGGCCTCTGCCCTCGTCTCCTCAGGACCGTTCCTTCCTGCCTCCCCTCCCTGCTACACCCCATTCATCCTTCAGGGCCCACATTCCGCAGGGCGCTCCAGATGAGAGCCTGCCATCGGTCACCCTGACCCAGAGCGAAGCAGATGCCACCCTCCTCCCACGTCCGCCCACTTCACCAGCTCCTCGGGACATGCCACCTCCCTGACGAACATGTCCTGAGGAGACACCAAGATCCCATGGGGAGGGCTCAGGTCCTGTGGCTCCTTGTTCGTCCCTCCCCTCCCCCAAGGCCATACCTGGCATGCACGTGGAAGGTGGCCCATGTGGAACATGGTCACAGTCCCCAAGTATGCAGGGCAGGAGGGGACCCAAGAGGACCCAACTCATGTAACCTCTGTGAGCAGACGTGAGAAGAAACCATGAGCCTTTAACAGCCAGAGCCACTGTCTGGGACCCGCGAAGGTCTGTGAAGCCGCTTTCGTACCTCACTAAGAGAACTGTGAATGGTACCCAGAGTCCCAGGTCCAGGAAACACAAAGCTCCCCAACTCTGGGACAGCTCCAAATCTGGGCAACATCACAAGGCAACTGTTTTGCCTCTTGAGTATGTTCTGTATAAATCTCCCAAATCAGACTGAAATAAAGTCGCCTCACGTTTCAATTCGATTGCTGAAGGAACAGCGAAGGCTGCAGGCATCTGGCCGTGGAAGTGCTGGCCACCACCATCCACGGCCGACACGGGAAGGCCAGTTTCCCTACGGCGCACCGGCCAAGAGGGCTGCTGACCAGGACGTGAACACAGAGATGACCCCAACGGAAGGAAGAAAACGGAAGTGAATGTGATATGAACAAACACGCCCCCAAACAAGGGCAGAAAGCCCCAAACGACAGGCAATTACGTTTCAAACGTTTGTTTTTCCCATTCGACAAGTATTTGCTGAGCACCTACTATGGGTCACACTTTATTCTGGATGCTCAGGGAACAAAAACAGTCCCCACACTTAACAGTCCCTACGATGAAAGTTGGGGAGCTTTAATTACAGTGAGGGTGACAAACAATAAATATAAAAATCTACAAAAAAATATTAAGTATGTGAGGTGATCTTAAATGTCAAGAAAAACACAGCAAAATGGAACACACAGAGATGGGAGGTTAGGGCACCGGGCTGGTAAGCTTCTGCAGGGCCAACCCCAGCCATCGCCTGTTTTTGTAAACAAAGTTTTATTGGCACACAGCCACGCTCATTTGTTTGCGTAATGAAAACTGTTGTCATTGTCTGGGGCTGTTAACAATGGCAGAGTTGAGTAGTTGCTTGCAGAGCAACCCTATGGCCTGTGATGCCTAAAATATTCAGTCTTGATCTTTACAGAAAGTTCCCCAGCCCCGCTGTACAGGATGGTCAGGGAAAGCTTCTCTACAGAGAAGGGCAAAGTGACGTTTCCTAGATGCTGAGAACTCAGTTCCTCGGGCCACACCTCCGGAGACTTTCGATCCTAATGCAGCAGAACCGAGTGACTAATAGAGATATGCTGAACTCTGAATCCCGAGCAGAAAAGGGACAGACAGGAAGAGAAATATGGGACGGAGCGGGAGAAGGAGGAGTTCGGTTTGACCCCAAATCTCAGGCCCTCTTCCTCTTCCAGCATCCTAGAGTCACAGATTCATAGGACATCAGATCTGACGGGGCCCCAAAGGCCACCTGGTCCAACCCTACTTACAGCTGGTTAAAACAAAGATCAGATGTCATTTAGGTCCCCTGTTTCCGACAACTACTTACTGAAACAGCACCCTCAATGTGAGAATAAATTTACCTTGATTAGCCTGGGTCATGAAACAATATTTATTAAGGCCACACACACCCTGTGATCAGCAAGTCACCGAGAATGTCACGGAATCTGCTCTTCTCTGAGCCGGAGCTGGTCATCGAAAGATCACTGAGCAGAGAGGCAGCTGGACATGAGCAGCAATGCCTCCCTCCCTCAGTGGACAGACCGGGACTCGTGCAGCCACCCTGCTTCAGTCCTGGCTGTGCTATAGGGAGACGCTATGCCCCTATTTCATGGAGGTGCTGCAATGCTCTGAGACTGTTTAAATACATACATATATATATATCTATATATAGATAGATATATAGATATATATAGATAGATATATAGATATATAGATATATATCTATCTATATATAGATATATATATGTATGCAAGACACTTGTAATTATGATGCAGAAAAATCTCTCCCAGCCAAGGGAGAGTTGTGATTTCTCCATTTTTAAAGGAAAGCATTTCACAGAAAATCCTTCCCTTCACCTTTAGTACGTAAACCACAAAGTCTTGCTGAAACCAGGGGTGCCTGAGATGCTAGGCCAGTGTCACCGAAAGGACAGCAGCCCTGCAGGCTGGAGGAGGAGGGACACAGGACGGCGAGGCCTCGAGGGCAGGGACCGCGTCCTGCTGGAGGCTGGACACAGGGGATACCTGACGAACAGGTGCTGCCCTGCCTGAGAAACAGAGGGAGCTTTAAGTTCCAACTCAACGCCGTTCCTGCCTAATCGCCCAGCCTCCAGTTCCTCATCTACTGACGAGCAAGAAAATGCCCAAAAAACAGACTATTATTTATAAGGACTCAACTAGCCAACCAATAGGAACCTGATCTTCCAAACTATAACCTGCTGGGCCCACGAATGTCACTGTCATTTTTCAAGGCTGAAGACACTCGCTATGACCTTGAGGATAATAGGAGAATATTTGGATTTCTACCTCCATAGGCAGTAAACAGTTTTACTAACGGGTTCCCATCTCAACAGACCGGTAAGATGACTCCACGTACTAAAAGTGGTCTTGATTTCCAGTAAAATCAGGTCAAAACTGTCACCCAGTTTTCCAATTACATGATAAGTATCAAGGACAGTACAATAACTCCCCAAAATACATCACTAAATTACAATGTTCATCCACGAAATGGAGCCATCCACCTTCAAAGTCTGAAACCAGGACATGCTGCCACGGTAAATTCAGAAAGCTTATAGCCACTGTCCCCTCCCGAACGATCATCGCACAAAAGGCTCACCCGGGGTTCTGCGGCATCCTTGGTGAACCCCAGCAGAACCCAGCGATATCCCTGCCCGGGTTAGGAGGATTTCAGGCGCGTCTTAGCGGGGAAGAGTGAATGGGCCATTGAAAGCAATAGAAATTGGGGAAAATCTAGACTTACTGGGGGGATCGCTTGATAAATTATACCAGTGTCTAACCACTACATTGTACACCTGAAACTAATATAAATGTCAACCACAACTGAAAATAAACAAACAAATAAATAATGAAAGAAACAGGAGAAAGGGCGAAGGGGTTGGGGAGAAACGGTATCAAGAAGGGAGAGAGTCAGAGGGCGGGCAATGGGGACACATGGAAGGGAAGGGAGGGCTGAATGCCACAGGGGTCCCTCCCACGCCACCCAGCAGCCCCCCCAGCTCACAGGCTGCCACACCAGAGACATCTCAGGCCAAGGTGCTGAGAACACAGGGGTGTAGCCTGGACGCACACAGCTGGCTCAGTGGGGGGAGCTCTGTCTGGTGCCCACAGTGAGGCCGCTGCGTTTCTCCTCCATGCGTGAGCCCAGGTGACTTCCCTGCCCACTCCACATAAACGCACAGTGGAGTTTACCTCCCACTGCCCTCTGGGAAGCCAGGACAATTTGCCCCGTCCCTTTGATGCCGGCGATGCGGAGTCCACGACGCCCTATCAGCCTCCCTAACTTGGAGCATCTTCCACTGACACGGGCCTCGCCTCGAGCCCACCACAGTGCACGACCTGCTCTGTAAAAACATAAAGGTTGACACAGGGCGAAGTAGTTCCTGGGAGATTGAAACAATACCTTTCTATAGCAATATTAACATTTCCTGGGTGTATCTGTTCTGGTGCTCTGGCATACTTTTCACCTTTCTGATGCAGGCCAGGGGAATAAACCCACACGAAGCTCCCAGGCCAGCATGACCCGTATCCCTTCTTGCTGGACTGGGAAGGTTCCGGAAGCCACTTTGCTACCCACCAAATAAATGCTCTTTCAGAGGCTTCTACAGATGGACGGAAGCTATGTTTCCACCTATCTTTCATGACACAAATTAAAATCTGAAAAGAGCGAGAGCGGGAACACACGCACACACTCGTGTTGGCTGT